ACAACTTTTACATTGTCCACGATGGTGATGTCTTTGATGGCCTTGATTTTATCGTGGTTAATCTCGATTCCTCGATTTGACACCATGAAGCCGAGGAACTTGCCCGAACCGACCTCGAAAGCACATTTTTCGGGGTTGAGCTTCATGTTGTATTTCCTCAAAATCTCGAACGTTTCCTGCAAATGGGTTAGATGGTCCTCTACGCGCAGGGACTTAACTAGCATGTCATCAATATAAACTTCCATTGATTTACCTATTTATTCTTCGAACATTTTATTTACTAGGCGTTGGTAAGTAGCACCTGCATTTTTTAGCCCGAAGGGCATCACATTATAACAATATATTCCATGTTTGGGGACAAATGAAGTCTTTTCCTGGTCCTCCGAGTTCATCCGGATTTGATTATACCCGGAATAGGCATCGAGAAAAGTGAGGATCTCGTGACCGGTAGTGGCATCGATCATGCGATCGATGTTGGGTAGCGAAAAAGAATATTTGGGGCATGCTTTGTTTAAATCCGTATAGTCCACGTACATTCTAAGTTTGTTTTCTTTTTTGGGCACTACAACTATATTGGCTAACCATTCGGAATATTTCACCTCTCGAATGGACCCTATCTTGAGAAGTTTGGTTACCTCATCTTTTACGAATGCGTGTTTTACCTCGGATTGGGGTCTTCTCTTTTGCTTTACCGGTCTGAACTTAGGGTCCAAGCTTAGCCGATGCGTCATTATGTCCGGTGGGATTCCTGTTATATCTAAATGGGACCAGGAAAAACAATCAATGTTATCGATAAGAAATTGAACGAGTTTCTTCCTAAGTTCGGGGCTCAACCCCGTTCCCAGGTATACCATTCGTTCGGGCCAGTGCTCGATCAGTATGACTTGCTCCAATTCCTCAATTGTTGATTTGGTGGCGTCGGAGTCATCGGGAATCATGAAGGATCGAGGGACCCTCTAATCATCATCTTCTTCGATCATCTGGTTATCTGGTTGGGTCGAAGCCTATGTCTGTGATTGCTATTTGGTGTCTCGTTCTTCTTCTGAACTCGATCCCTTTACTGACGAAGGCGAGGATATTGGTTTTGCTTCCTCGACAGCGAACATTTCTCTTGCGGCTGGTTGTTCTCTGTATACTATTTTGACTCCTCTCGATGTAGGGAATTTGAGGGCCTGGTGTAGGGTCAAAGGTACAACTCTCATGTTGTGGATCCATGGCCTCCCGAAAAGGGCGTTGTATCTCATGTCGCCTTCTATCACGTGAAACTTCATTTCCTGGATGGTTCCGGCCACATTTTTTGGTAGGATTATCTCGTCTTTGGTGGTTTCACATGCCATATTGAATCCGTTTAGAACCAGAGTTGTGGGTACGATCTGGTCCTGCAGGCCGAGCTGTTCTACGACCTTCAATCTGATGATGTTGGCCGAGCTACCTGGATCGATCAACACATGCTTAACTTTAGTTTTATTCATGAGTACGGATATTACCAGTGCATCTTTATGAGGTTGAATGACTCCTTCTGCATCTTCATCATCGAAGGAAAAAGTCCCTATGGGTGCGTAATCTTGAGTTCGAGATCGCTTTTCCCTCACAATCGATGTTTTAGTGCGTTTAAGCACTGGTCCCTGAGGGGTATAGGCGCCGCCGATGATCATGTGAATGACGTGCTGCGGTTCTTCTTGCTCGTTTTGCTTGCCAAAATCCCTGTTCTTAAAATGGTTATTCGCCCTATCGCTCATAAATTCCCGAAGGTGGCCTTTGTTAAATAACCGGGCTACTTCCTCCCTTAGTTGCCTGCAATCTTCCGTTCTGTGGACATGGGTGCCATGATATTCGCACATTTGATTGGGATTCCTTTGGGCATGATCGGTCTGCATGGGTCGAGGCCATTTAGTTTATTTAATGTGTCCGATAGCCGACACAATGGCGGATGCATCAACGCTGAAGTTATACTCTGATAACCGAGGTGCTTCTATTGGATCGGCATATTTATCAAAGCCGCTCTTGCTCATAAGTCCCCGAGAATGTTGCCCTCGATCAATGCTTCGATTGTTCCGAATGGTATTACATATTGAACCATTGTTCATCCGATCTGCGACGTACGGTTGATATTGGTCTCTGTTCGACTTTTGTTCTCTGTCGATCTCCCTTTGGTTTTTAGTAGCTGTACTGTACTGATGTGTGGGTCCAGACGGAGCTCCCAATTGGTCATCTTCAACCCTAATTTTCGACTAATATCGGTTGTGTATATCTGCCCAAGTTATTGCTGGATACTCGATCAAATTTTGCTTCAACCGACGTGATGCTATCGAACTTTGCTCGTTCAACCCTTGGGTGAAAGCTTGGACGACCCAATTGTCTGTGACCGGTGGCAATTCCATGCGTTCCATTTGAAATCGGGATACGAATTCCCTCTGCATTTCATTACCCCTTTGCTTTACTTTGAAGAGGTCTGATTTCCCTGTTGCAACCTTCATGGAACCAGCATGTGCCTTTATGAACGAATCTGCTAACATGACAAAAGAATCGATGGAATTTGGCTGTAGATTGTGATACCAGATCATTGCTCCCTTCGAGAGGGTCTCCTGAACTTTTTCAACAATACAGATTCGATCTCATCGTCCTCAAAATCGTTACCCTTGATGGCACATGTGTAAGAGATGACGTATTCGTTAGGATTGTTCGTACCGTTATATTTGGGAATTTCGGGCATACCAAATTTTTTGGGGATTGGTTTTGGGGCCGCACTCGAGAGAAAAGGCTTTTATATGAACTTTTTCGAATCCAACCCTTTTATCATTGGTGGAGCTCCCGGGATTTGATCGACCCTGGCATTGTATGTTTCCACTCTTTTGTCATTGGCTTCGACTCGTTTTGTGAGTTCCTCGAGCAATTTAGTAATTTCGGGAGTGGTCCCTGATTCTTACTCGTTTGATTTCACTATGGAGGGCTCCGTTCTAGGGGTGATTTCTCGAAGAAGATTGGGATCCGGCCTGCTTTGTATATGAGTTTGGCTCTGCAACTGAGCTATCGCTACTTGTTGGGCTTGTAACATCTCGAAGATCATACGTAAGCTGGCTCTGATTTCCCCCATGTTATGGGTGTCTCGAGCTACGGATCGAGTACCGCCCTGGATGCTTTTTTCTGGTTCGGAACGCTGATTCGCCTCCAGAGCTATTTGTGAATTGACATCTAACGGTACTTCGGCTCGAATTTCGGGTACTTCGATTCGAGCCTCAGTGCCATCGTCAAGTGGCCTTCCGGCTCCGGGTACCAAGTTGTTGGTTTCATCTTGAAGGCCGACTTCGTGGTCGATAGGTAAAGCCATTGCTGATTTGAAGTTGTAAACTGGTGTGTACTGCAGATTTATATCAAACAATCACTGTTATCCTTAGCCCCACGGTGGGCGCCAAACTGTTTACCCGAAAAATCAGTTAACGTATAATTTGTGTATGGTTCTAAGGATACGTGATACCTTTTGATACAAATCGTATAGAGAGATAGAAATACGTGTATTCTTGACTATGAGAATGGGAATAATGAATAAAAAGAATGAGTAAGATAAAGTAAAACAAGCACAAGGAGATATCTTTGTAGATGAGAAATGATCTTTTGTTACAGTGTATTCGGTGTCTCTTCTTTCTTACAAGTATTCCCTCCTTTATAATAGAGGGTTATTATTTTATTTATAATAAAATAAAGCATATAGTAGAGGACCCATGATGAATTGTCTCTTTCTCGATTCCCGTCAAGATTTCCTCCATTAGTGCAGTTGTAACGGCTCTTGTCTGTGAGCTCGATACTGGCTCGAACTCGTTACTGGGTCGAGCCCTCGGTTTTGGCTTGAGTTCGACCTTCGGGGTGGGCGTGGCGCATTTCCGACCTCGAAGCAATGCCTTGCGGATCGATTTGGTAACGGGCTCGATAAGATTATCGAGCCGACTCCTCGAGCAGCCTTCGGACTCGAGGCTCGTTTGTACTGTCTTCGAAACTCACTCCCAAAATCCCACTCCGGTTTCTTGCCACTCAAACTCGATCGAAAGTAGGAAGGTCGAAATCTATTTCGACCGTATACAAGGTCATTTACAAATAATCATGAGTTACTGCGTCCTGCTGTCACTCGCTTTGCTACAGTATATCTCACGCTTCAAAGCATTCAAAAACAAAAAACAAGCCCTTAGATCTATGTTTTCTTCCGAAGCTTGGAATAAATCTGCTTGGGCTAAGAAACACGAGGGGGTGAAAACAAGAGCCACAATTTTGTTTGATCGGAACTTCTGGCCTTATATTGCTTATTGTGTGAAGAGTGTTACTCCTTTAGTGAGTGTTTTGAGGGAAGTAGATTCAGAGGAAAAACCATGCATGGGATATATGTATGATTTGATGAATAAAGCTAAGGAAATCCAATGAAAAAACATATGGTCCTATTTGGAAGAGAATTGATGATAGATGGAATGACCAACTTCATCGTCCACTTCATGCTGCTGGATACTATTTGAATCCTCAGTTGCGATTTGATGAAATGTTTTCTAATAATTATGAAATCAAACAAGGTTTGTACCAATGCATGGAAAGAATGTTGAGTTATATATGAAGAGAGGTTTAAAGTGGATGTTCAGTTAGATTCATATGACAACTTGAGAGGGGATTTTAGAAGTCAGTTAGCTATGGATTCTAAGAAAGTACGATCTCCGACAGATTGGTGGATATGTTTTGGAGGCAGAACTCCAGAGTTGACTAAATTTGCGATTCGTGTCTTGAGTCTCACATGCAGCTCCTCGGATTGTGAAAGAAATTGGAGTACCTTCGAGTTGGTAAGAGTTATGATTTTCCAGAACTTGTACTATTGTATTTTCATCTTTATAATAGCTTATATTTAGTTTTTTAATATTTGCTAGATTCATACCAAGAAGCGAAACAGACTTGAGCATCATAGATTAAATGCTCTAGTTTATGTTAGATACAATACTAGATTAAGAGAAAGGAGCATCAAAAAAAAAATGCAAAATGTCGATCCAATTCTAGTTGATGAAATTGATTCTGATAATGAATGGATAACTGAAAACGAAGATCCTGTGCTTCCTGAAGATCCTTCTTGGCTTGATGAAGAGAATTTATTTGATGTTGATGTCATTAGAATGGTGCCACCTACTGCCATGAACTAGTTTGATTTTATTTCATTTTTCTTTTTTCTTACAAATAATCAATGACGCCGTTTGCTTATATTGTTTGGAATATGGATTGTTATTTCGGTTAGAACATTATTGACTTATTGTTAATATGTATCTCATTTATTAGTATATTTTTTATTTTTAGTTCATATAATTATAATAATTATCTATTTTTTTGTGATTTGTATGAATTTTCTAAAATAATTATGTAATTTTTAGATTTAAAAATAATTTTAAGTTATTTTATTAATTATAAATTAAAGATCCATGGGACTTACGCCCCGTGTCTCGGGGCTTACGCCTCACCCCATGTTGGGTAAAACGCCTCGTCTCACACCCTCGCCTTTTAAAACACTGGGTTAAATACAATAAATCCGCAAAACATATCTTTGACAAAAGATTTAAGGATTTGAATAATTCGTCTACCAAATCATGTACCATATTCAAAGTAAATGTGGGGTTACGTGAATCAAATCCAGATGCTTATACCCCTAAGATGATCTCCATTGGTCCTTACCATAACAAAAATCAAGAATTTCGCTCAATGAAAAAGTAAAAACTGTTGTACCTACAACGATTGCTCAAATGGAAAACCGAGATTGATGTGGAAAGTTCCATTAGTGAAATTGAGAAACTAAAAGATGAAGCACTTAAGTGTTACGAGGATATAGGGGACGCCGACCTTGGCAGTGATATTGTTGAGAAATTTTCAGAAATGTTGTTTCTTGATGAATGTTTTGTGGTTGAGTATATTCGAGAGCGTAGTGGAATGAAGCCAAAAGGAGAAGACATAATTATCAAGGCAAGTTGCATGAGACTCATGAGAGGTATTGTACGTCGAAATTTGTTGTTACTAGAAAACCAACTTCCTTTCTTTGTCCTGACCAAACTTCATGACGACAAACGAATTTCATCAAATACCATTCATAAATATGGTGAAGAAGACCTTTCTTCCTTTCTTACCGAAGATGACCCTGCATCCTCTAATGAGAGTGAATGTAACGCCGCAGAAATCAAACATTTACTTCAAATAGTACACATGTCGTGCCACCCTTCAAAGATGAAAGATATGCCAAGAGATAAGGACCATCTAAAGGTCATGCCAAATGCAATAGAGCTTTCGGAAGCTGGAGTTAGCTTCGTAAAAGTCAGATATATTTATAGAAGGTTAGACGAAGACGACCTTAGAGATAGCACAAGTATATTTGGTGTCAAATTTGAGAATGGGTTAATGGAAATTCCTTGTTTTGAAGTCGATGATAACGGAGACTTTCCTGCGAAATCTTATAGCATACGAGTAACAATCGTCTGATGTACATCCAACATATTTTAGTGATTTCGCAACTTTCATGGATTAAAAATAAGGGTAATTCTACCCACTTTCCTAACGGTAGGCCTTTAAATGGCCTGATAGCATAATGGGGGAGAGAAATATACTATTTACCAAAGTAGAGGGGTATGTCAGTATCTTTTTCCTTTTAAAATTTATAGTCTAAAATAAAGGTAAAGTATTAGGTAACCGAGCATTGTCCTTGTCTGTAACAGTAGCTTTAGTATATGACTTAGTGTCATTTGTGTATTTTCGTATTCCTTGACTTTTGTTATTACATGTTATTGCTTTCGTTTCGGCTTTTTTATTGCAGTACCTAGTGTTAGTTTTGTATTTTCGCTTCGGTTTTTTGATTTGTGTGCTTGTTGTTGCCCTTTCTTTTACCTTTCCTAAGCCGAGTGTCTAGCGGAAACAGTCTTTCTGTCTTCTTGAAGGTAGGAGTAAGGTTTGCGTATACACTTTAATAATAAAATATATTTATACAAATATTTGCACATACACTTTATTGTGTGTTCTTACTAAAACGCATAAAATAGACAAGAACTTATTTAAGTCTTTGGTTATTGAACAGATCAGAAGAGTATATATGCACCACTAATTCTAGATATTTAGGATAAGGTAGTCCTACAAGTTGAACAAACTTAAAAATTCTTTATTGCATGAATATCCAGTAATATATCAATAATTAATTTTAATGTACTATGATATTATCTCCCCATAAGTTCTGTCGGTCATGGCGGAATGACTGGTGAGTATTTTTTATTCTTAATTAATAGTTCGAGTTTGAATTCTGAATATAGAATAGCTTTTATTATTGCATATATATTGCATGATTATCACGTTTTATTTTAAGTTATTAATTTAGTATTCTTTCATATAGTTGCCATACATCTTTGTTTTTAGTTTTTTGTTTGTAGGTCGATATACGTAAGCCATTTGGTCATATTGATGTGTTCTAAGGACAAGGTTTAATAAATGGTTAACCATTAGTATGAATAATGGACCTGCAGAAATAATGAAAATAGCATGAGCTAGTCAGTTTTCGGACTGATAATCAAAAAGTAGACAGTGTTTGTAAAGTTATTGAAAAAATAATCACTATTTTATGCGGCGATAAAATCTGGATAGAAACACTCTAGTTGAAATACGGAAAGATCCAGCATAATATGTTAGAATATGGAGCTCATGCGTATAAACGTCCAGCATATTATGTTAGAGTTCCAGCACATTATGAAATTCCAACATATTACGCTGAAATCTCACATGTAAAAAATTCGATTTCCAGCATATTATGCTGGAATTTTTCAGATTTTATGAGTGTTTTTGTTCAAATTTTATCTTTATATAAAAAAATGACTAGATTTTGATTACTTTTGAAACTGTGACTATTTTTCAGTTATCGGATATAAATCAGGCTAATTCTTTTCTTTTTTTTCTCCGCAGAAATATGGTAGAGAAGTGTTTTGCAGTTTGAGATTTTATACGAGTTGGGGTATTTCTGACTAATACGTACCTTTCTTTTTCTCACCAGGTGTTCGTATCAAATTGAAACTGTTTTAGTTTGCACTTACACTGAAAAGTTTCTCTTTAGAGAAAAAATATTTTTTATTAAAGGCGAATTCATTGTTTACTCGAAACTTCTAATTAACAAAAAAAATATTAAAATTATATTATTGAATTGATATAAATATCAAATACGGACAATTTGTGGATGCAAAGGCTAAAAAATGAACAGCCTTTGATAAGTCAACAGATAAGTGACTGTTTGACGTCTTTTGCTGCATTATATGTTTCTTCACTCATGTTTTAATTTGTAGGCAACAACCCCTTGCACGAGGTTCGACTCTTCCGATTTTCTATCAATTACTTTATGATCTTAAATTTTAAAAAAAACATATAAAATATCAAAAAATATTTTTTATGCATTAAAGGTATTTTTTCCGTTTTAATTTAGATGACGTAGTTTGACTTGACAGAAAGTTTAAAAAAAATTTATATTTTTAAAATATGTGGTCTTTAATACTTAACGGCCCAAAGCTTTGTGGGCACAATATTTGTGTGGCTATAAAAGCTTTTCGTTATGGGTAAAGTGAGTAAAATAAAAGTTTAAATTTAAATTATTTTTAAATAAAAAATATATCATTCTTTTTGGAACGGACTAATAAGAAAAATGTGTTATTTAAATTGAAACTGAAGAAGTATGTCATATTAGTCCTACAATGGAGCGGAGTATGTCATATTAGTCCTACAAGGGAGCGCAACTTAGGGTAGAACATTATAACTAACGTTTGGACATAGATTTGGTTAATACTTGAAAAAAAAGTTTTTGAAGTTACGTCAAAAAATAATTTTTGGAAGCAGGGGGGAGGTACATGCCGAACTACGGGTTCGGCTGAACCCAGTAGCTTTTATTCAAACAGTGTATTTGATGTTTAAAATTCATCAAATATGTACAAATATTAAAATTAGAACCCAGTCACTAACACTTAAAGTCATGTTCTAAAATCCAGAAGCCATAAGGTTGAAATCATGGCTCAGCCTCTATTTGAAAGTTGAAATTGTGTTTGAACATGCATTTTATTTGAAAAAAGAAGTTAAAATTTTGTGAGTGGAAGAAAAAATTTCACCCAAAAACTATCCTAGACCAATTTTTGTAAACTTGAAAAAAAAATCAATTTTTAAAAATTGACCATATTCCATCAACAAACAATGTTTTTAAATTCTTTTTGAAAAAATAACAAAAATTTATGATCAAACAAGAGCTTGAAGTATATAAAAGAACTCCGAAATTCCGAATACCCACCATATCTAACTCCAAAAATTAACAGTAACAAGGCCCAGGGAATTGACTCTTAATAAGCAAATAGATCAGGTTCTTAATTTCTTTTGGAATTAGACAGTGAAAATATTTTCTTTGTTTGATTTTTTAATCTTGACCTAGATTACTTGCTTTTCACAACAACAACAATAAAAAAAAATGGTATTTAAATTTCATGCATTGAGAATAAGCGTGAGTTCAAGTCTTCAAAAGAGGCGGGGTCAGAATTTAATAAAATTTACGAGTTTGAGATTCTACTCCTTTTAGGTTATGGGTAGAGGCGGTTCAACAACACTTGGGGCCTAAAATTAAATTTTAATTGGAGGCCCTTCATGCGACCCGGCCGGTTGTTTTGAGTATTATAACCTCATTTCCCAATTTACTGTTCAATTTATACCTTACAATTGATTTATGACTTATCGGGTTAGTTAGTTCGGGTCCGGAAGAATTTCGGAGTGAAATGAGACACTTAGTCTCATAATTGAAAACTTAAGTTGGAAAAGTTGATCGGATATTGACTTATCTGTAAACGACCTCGAAATTTAATTCTGATGATTCCAATAGCTCCGTATGGTGATTTTGGATTTAGGAGCGTTTTCGAAAAATTATTTGGAGGTCCGTAGTGAAATTAGGCTTGAAATGCCAAAAGTTGAATTTTTGTAAAATTTGACCGGGGGTTGACTTTTTGATATCGAGGTCGAAATCCGATTATGAAAATTGGAATAGCTTCGTTATGTCATTTATGACTTGTGTGCAAAATTTGAAGTCATTCCAGATTGATTTGATGTATTTCGGCACAAGATATAGAATTTGAAAGTTTAAAGTTCATTAGGCTTGAATTGAGATGCGATTCGTGGTTTTAGCATTGTTTGATGTGATTCGAGGCTTCGACTAAGTTCGTATGATGTTTTAGGACTTATTGGTATATTTGGTTAAGGTCCCGAGGGGCGCGGGTGAGTTTCAGGGTTATTTTGGACCATTTCTAGGCTATTTTTAATTGTTGGTTTCTGCCTACACAGGTGTGCATCGCGATCGCGAACATTTGGTCGCGTTCACGAAAAGCAAACAGCAGTTTGGGGCCTCGTGAATCGCGATCGCGGAATCTCTTTAGCGATCGCGTAGAATAAAATCTCTGTTGCACTCACCCAATTTTGGAAGCTTATATCTCGCAATCTATAAGGAATTTGGAGATGATCCAAAATTAAAAGTTGTAGCCCTTGATGTCTAGTTTTCAGAAAGGTAAATCATTTGTCATTTGGAGTTATCTACAAAACATTATGGTAGATATACTATAGGTTATCTGGGAAGAGTTTGTAAATCTCTGTTGCACAAGGCTGACTTTGGAAGCTTATATCTAGCAATCTATAAGGAATTGGGAGATGAGCAACAAATGAAAGTTATAGCTCTTGGTATCTAGTTTTCAGAAAGTTAAACCATTTGTAATTTGGAGTTTTGTACAAAAGGTTATGACTATTATACTAGAGGATGTTTGAAAGAGTTGGGGAGTTTGTTCTTCGCGATCGCGAAGACCAATTTTGGGGCTGAAAAATTTTGTGCTTCGCAATCGCGAAGAGTAAATACATGGGCAGTAGCTATATTTCGAGGTTTCAGCTATTTTTAACATATTTGGAGCTATGGAGCTCTGATTGAAATGATTTTTGAGGCGATTTTCACCATATGGATTGGGGTAAGTGTTATATATCTTAAAGTGTTTATATTTTATGAATCTATGATGATATTCATCGTTTAATTCAGAGGTTTATGGAAGAAATCAAGATTTTTGTCAAAATCTTCCAAAAACGAAAATTTAAGATTTGGAGGTCGAGTTGTTATCAGAATTTGATAAAACTGATATGGTTGAAATCGTATCGGAATGGGTGTTCGAATTTCATGAAAATTATGTCGGGCTTCGAGAGGCGGGCCCCGCATTGACTTTTGTTGACTTTTTAGAATAAATTTTTAAGTTGACGTCTTATTATCCGGGATTATTTTCGATAAATTTTAATGGAGTTTGTACAATTAATTTGGATAGATTTGAGCTGTCCGGAGGTCTATTCAAGCAAGAAGGCTATTTTGGAATATCGATCTAACTTCAAAAAGGTAAGTATCTTGCCTAACCTTGAGTGGGGGAATTACCCCTTAGGCATTGAGTCTTATGTGAAAA